TTGAGGTGTGTTGTTTATGTAATTATGACGCCTAATATTTACAGTACCGCATACTTGTTCTCTATTGTTGGAGTCGAATAAACCTCTAGAAAACTTGGACTTGGCTTCTGAGGTTGCGCGTCACTCAACGTTGGCCTTGATAGTCATTTGGATTTAACAGTACTCAAATCCATTTTCCTTTGGGCTCGTTTTCATTTATTGCCTGGAAAAAAGAAGAATACAATGCCAGTAACCCGGAGTAATTCGCGGATGCTGGGACATTCTGGTTCTAACAAAACTCTGTTGGACGAAAACGCGACTAGTCACTCACACACGCTTGGCGAACATTTGGATAAGCAGGTTTCTTCCCGTACCCCTTTGTTTGGCACGGCTAATGGTAATAAGATGTAGGCAGCGCTATTTCCCGTAGCAGTTCACCTGGATGTAGTAGAAGAAAGCAGATAGCATCGGAACAACTTGCGATAGAAATGAAGAAATCAGAGATTAGGCAAAAACAGTTAGATTTGGAGATTGCGATTTTGGACGATGAAAGGCATTCTCTCAGAGGAGATGACGACTATGGAGATGAAGTCATGGAACGATTAGAACATGTTAAGGATTACGTTTACCTTTGGCCGGCAGACCGGCCATTACCCAACACTACTATGGCGTCTAACAAAACCACGCACACTGCAAGACGACTTCCCGAGTTGAGTCTGGTGCGTTTCGACGGCACCCCAAGGAAGCTTTGTATATTTTTGAACAGTTTTAAGCAAGATGTTGCTGCACATCTAAGAACCGACAGAGGAAGGTTAGCGTACCTTATCCATTGTTGCGCTGGAGAAGAGCGAGAAGCTATGGAAGAGTGTGTGTTGTTATCCGAAGACATCGTGTACATAAAGGCTTTGTCAATACCAGAATCCCAGTTTGGTTGTCCAGATGAGATCACCGAGAACCCGCTGGACGGGTTACTTCATGGAAATAAGTTGATGACTAGCGATATCTATGGCCTCCGGAAACTGATTCGCCAGGTTGTCAATAGTGAGATAATCCTTCAACAGATGGGTTACGCTTCTATTCTTAACTGCTCCACAACCATCAAGGCAGTTACACGGCGTATCCCCGAGTACATGCAGCTGAAGTGGGCAGATGAAATGACTAGTAGTCGGCTACAAGGTACAAACCTCCTATTCCGTGACCTTATCGCATTTTTGGAAAATTGTCTCTTCACAGCCACGTACTGTTATGGACAAGGCGCCGGCCGATTTAAGGAAGACAGGGGAAGAAACGAGGAGAATCTAACACGTAGCTATGGCCACAGAACACGGATAAATACTATGCATGCTCAACGAGATGAAACTTATCCCGTTTGCCACCACAATCATCCCTTATCGCTATGCGATGAAGTTAAATCCTACGACCACGAGCAGAGAATGAAAACAACTAGAGAAATCAACGGCTGTTTTTTGTGTCTTAGACCGGGTAATTGAGCCAACGTTTGTCGAGTGAGGAGTCGATGCACGGTAGATAGATGTAGTGGACTTCATCATGCTTCCCAGATCTCCGCATCCAGCAACTGGCGCTAGGATAAATTCAGTTTCCACAGAGACACCATGTACCTATTTGGGGTTCGTACCTGTCGTAGTAATCGGCCCATGCGGCTCCCAGGTAACATACGCCTTTTTGGATAACGGCTCCGATACAACTTTGCTTTCCGACACGGTCGCTAAGAATCTCGGAATATCTGGACCATCAACGCAATTGAGAGTTACATCAATCAACGGAGAAGCGGTTAGGAAAACATCGAGCGTTAAATTCACCATCCAATCGTTAAGTGGAGGTCACACTGTTGAAGTGGAGCGTGCATTTACCGTGGACGAACTCCCAGTGAAGAAGGCGTCTGTACCACCATCTGGGATGAGCCGTTGGCCACATCTGAAAAACGTTCAATTTGAAGAAACCCCAGATTTGGAGGTAGGGATTCTCATTGGCGCGAACATTCCAAAAGCCCACTGGTCGCTAGATCAACGAGTTGGAACTTCGAAACAACCGTTTGCAACAAGGACTGTTTTAGGTTGGGTGTTATTCGGACCGACCCACGAACCTTCTGGACGGTCAGGTTCGGTTAACTGCCTAACATCTAGGACGGAGGTCGAGTCGAATATCTTGAGGATATATGAAATGGAATTCGCAGACCAACATGACGGAGTCTCTCTCTCGCTGGAGGATGAACGGGCTGTCAAAATATTTCGCGAATCTGTGACACTCGTCAAAGGGCACTATCAACTAAAATTACCCTGGCGGCGAGATTGGAGTGACTTACCGGACAATCGACAGTTGGCTGAGAGAAGACTGCACTACCTTCGAGGTCGTTTACTGAGAGAGCCTGAACTTCTAGACAGGTACAACGGAGTACTCACGGCATACAAACTAAAGGGATATATAAAACAAGTCCCCAAGAAATAATGCAGGGAACGGCGATTCGTCCCACATCACCCCGTCCTTAATCCACACAAGCCGGGAAAGATCAGGATTGTATTTGATTTGAAATGTGGTGGCTTGTCCCTTAACGATTGCCTACAGCCTGGTCCAATTCTAACGAATGACCTCACTGGAGTGCTGCTACGATTTCGTCTCCACAAGATCGCGATCTCGGCAGACATCGAGGAAATGTTCCTACAGGTTCGGCTGGCACCAGAGGATCAACCCTCAATGAGCTTCCTTTGGTTTCCTTCAGGAGATATAAGTTCACCACCAGAAATCTACCAGCTCCAAGTACATCCCTTCGGAGCCACGTCTTCTCCATTCTGCGCGGCGTTCACATTAAGGCAACTAGCCAGAGATCACGCCAAAGATTTTGACGACATCACGACACGAATTGTGGAGGAGAAGTTTTACGTGGACGACTGTTTGGTCTCCGTGGATTCTGAAGAAATTGCTGTACGTCTAGTGGATCCACTGCTAACTCTCTTGAAACGAGGTGGTTTTCGTTTGCACAAGTGGGTCAGCAACAACAAAGCGGTGATCCAGAAGATTCCCTTTAGTGAGAGAGCGGATGGATTGATCAACCTAGGCCCTACAGATCCTCAGATACAAAAAACCCTTGGGTTGTATTGGCGAGTGAAGGAAGATTGTTTTACCTTCAAGATGAATCTACCTGAACGCCCTGCCACCAGGAGAGGCATTTTATCCTGTACGGCCTCGTTGTATGATCCCATCGGGTTTGTTGCTCCGTTACTACTGCCTCCAAAGCGCTTACTACAGAAACTCTGCCTAAGCACATATGGATGGGATGAATTAGTGGACGAGGCAACTCAGACGGCTTGGAAGAAATGGCAATCAGAAATCCTATTGATCGAGACACTTCCCATACCACGATGCATAAAAACACTGGCTTCTGAAAATATCAAATCGTCGTTGCATTTGTTCTCGGATGTATCTGAAGTAGGTTACGGTTCGGTGGCATATCTCCATCACGAAACTGTCAGTGAAGTATTGTGTTTCTTCGTGATGGGTAAATCTAGGGTGGCCCCGTTAAAAGCAGTTACGATACCGCGCTTGGAATCGCAAGCTGCGGTAATGTCGGTGAGACTCCTGCGACACATTGTGAAAGAAATCGGAATCTGCATAAATGACGTCTATCTTTGGACAGATTCTATGATTGTTCTTCACTACTTAAACAATACCAAAACGAGATTTAAAACCTTCGTAGCTAATCGCATTGCCTTCATCCGTGAGCATACCATCGTTGAGCAATGGAGACATGTCCCTACGAGTGATAATCCAGCCGACATTGCATCCCGAGGATTGGATTGGAACCAATACAATCAACTACAAAGTTGGATCAAAGGTCCACAGTATCTGTAGCAAACGAAAAACTCTTGGCCGCCCCGCGAGACCCAGCCATTAGGTAACCCGCCGTTGGATATCGAGGTTAAACATGATCGGGTTATCGCTGCTCTTGTTACATCTGTCTCCCCCATGGATAAACTAATTGCCTATTATTCATCCTGGACAAGATTGAAGCGAGCTGTCGCTTGGTTTGCCAGATTCAAGACCTTTCTCAAGANAAAGTCGGACGGATCGACTCCTCAGTGGAACGTCAAGAACGCGATCACTCTAGGCGAACTAAAGTACGCATAATTGACCCTAATCCAATACGTGCAACAACAGATGTTTTCTGAGAGCATACTCAATCGCCTTAACTGAAGTCAGGGACCCGAAGTCCTCACATGTAAAGGGATCACCGCTAAGTAAACTGCGGCCTGTCTTAGCCAGTGGACTGCTGTACGTTGGTGGCCGGATAACCGAGGGTAGATTGCCTGTGAACTTCAAAAGACCACATAATCTGCCTGGTAGACATGTGGTGACCGAGTCTATCATCCGCCATTACCACGAGGTAGAAGGTCATATGGGATTGATGCATGTCCTATCGGTGCTGA